TATATATATAGCAACTTTTTCTGTAGTTCTAATTATGTGTCTTTCTTATTACAACTTAGTACAGGTTGTCCTCAACTTACAACAATTTGTTTAGTAACCATCCAAAGCTGCAATGGCACGAAAAAAAAAAGAGACTTATGAGCATTTTTCACACTTATAACCGTTGCAGCATCCCCATGGTCACGTGGTAAAAATTTGTCTGACGCTTGGCAACTGGTGTGTATTTGTGACATTTGCAGTGTCCCGGGCTCATATGATCATCTTTTGGGACCTTCTGACAAGCAAAGTTAAGGGGGATGCCAGATTTGCTTAACAACCAAATGATTCATTTAACAATTGCAGGGATTCACTTAACAACTATGGGAAGAAAGGTCATAAAATGGGGCCAAATGCACTTATCAGCTATCTTGCTTAGCAACAAAAAAATTGGGCTCAATTGTGGTCGTAAGTCAATGGCTACCAGTATTTGAAATGATTCACTTGGCCTCCTCCTTCTACCTTTATCTTTTTCCTACTCCTTTTTCTGGCTAAATTCAGAGCAGTTGATATAGCAATTTAGATGATCATATGACACCTTTGCTTATACTAATACTGCATAGCAGAGAAACCATATGCAGAATTGCCATATAATACTTATTTGCTCATCTATCTTCACACTAATTAAAATAAGCAAAACCCTAATTATGGAGCCAGAAAAGTGAGACCATCCAATTCATTGTTTCCCAGCTATAGATATCACAAACTAGAATGTAATTGAGGTTTTTTTTTAAATGATGATCTTCATTCATGAGTGATTTTCCTTTTGTTCCCTGACAGCAAATGGAACATCAAGTAGCCAGCTTTCCACACCGAAATCAAAGCAATCCCCAATCTCTACACCTACTAGCCCAGGAAGCCTCCGCAAGCACAAGGTATTACGTTTCTTATACCTTACTAAACCTCCTTCCACAGATTACACACTGTTGAGAGTTACCTGAAGGTAACAGACTTGAGAGCACACTTGAAATACTACATCCAATTCTGGTCACCAGGATACAAAAAAATGTTGGGACCTTAGAAAGAATGCAGAGAAGAGTGATAAAGATGATAAAAGGTCTCAAGGCTAAACTGTATGATGAAGGATTGAAGGAACTGGGTATGTCTAGTCTAATGAAGAGAAGGACGAGGGGTGATGTGATAGTAGTTTTCCAATACTTGGGGCCTGTCACAGAGAAGAGTGGGTCAACCTATATTCTCCAAAGCATCTCCAAGGCAGAACAAGAAGCAATGGATAGAAGCTTATAAGAGGGAGATCCAACCTGAAACTAAGGAGAAATTTTCTGACAGTGAGAGCAATTAACCAATGGAATGACTTGCCCCCAAAACTTGATGGTGCTCTATCACTAGAGATTTTGAAGAAGAGATTGAACAAACATTTGTCCAGAATGATGTAGGATGGGGTTCTATATCATTCCGGACAAGTGTGGCATGCCAGCAACCAGTCCACGCAAACAAGTAAAGCGCCATCCATGGGATGCAGGCAGCATGCAAAAACATGCCCCTCCAGTCCATGGAAAAAACTTTCTCCAGGGAACCAGTCCCTGGTGCCCAAAAGGTTGGGGGCTGCTGATATAAGATCTCCTGCTTGTGGAGCGGGTTGGACTAGAAGACCTCCAATGTCCCCTCCTACCCTTTTATTCTATGTTCTATGAAGCTGCATTGAGATTATCTCTGTGAGGCTAGAACTCTTCTACCTCAAGCAGGGCTCTGGATCATTTAGCAACTCGGGAGCCATCTTGCCTTTCCCAACTGTGCCAGTTCTTTGCTTATTTATTTGTTAACATTATTGTCCCCACTTTTTTTCCAGGAATTCAAAATGGGGAGCATTGCATTCCTTCTTCCTATTTTTCACACACACCCAACAACAAATATAGGGGTGGGGTGGGTTGAGAGAGAGAGTCTGGCTGAAGGTCACTCAAATGAGTTTGCACAGTTTAGAACTGTCAGAAATCTTAACTATCAGGAGTTTGCCCTTGGCAAGATCTCAAAGAATGGGAGATACTGTAGGAAAAAGCCCTAAGCCAGAGGCTAGTTGTGCTTTTAAAATAGAACTGAATCTAATGTTGATTCTGCAAGCTGTAAAGTACAGGTAGTCCTCAACTTACAATCACAATTGAACCCCAAATTTCTGTTACTAAGTGAGACAATTGTTAAGTAAGTTTTTTACGATCTTTCTTGCCACAAGTATGAAGTGAATCACTGCAGTTGTTAAATTAGTAGCACAGCTGTTAAGAGAATTTGGCTTCCCTATTGACTTTGCTTGTCAGAAGGTTGCAAAAGGGGATCACGTGATTCCAGGATACTGCAACCGTCATAAATACAAGCCAATTGCCAAGCGTCTGAATTTTGATCACGTGACCATGGGGATGCTGCAATAGTTGTAAGGGTGAAAAATGGTCATAAGTCACTTTCTTGACTGCCATTGTAACTTTGAACAGTCACTAAATGAACTGTTGTAAGTCAAGAACTATCTGTATTCTAAAATTACGTTTTGTTGGTGCTGCGATAGTTTTCTTAGTCAGGACTACTAGTAACAGTTGCTTTGGCTTTACTGTTAACATCCTTTAAATTTCCATGCCCTCTCTCTCCTCACGCACCCAAGCACACATGTGGGCACACTCTGACAGTCAGAACAATTAATCAGTGGTACTGGCTTGCTTTCAGAATGACTTTGGAGACTGTCAATCATCCAGGTCATGGATGTGCCAAGGGTGCTTTTCAAAAGGCAACGGGACTTTGTTGTATTTTTTCCTTGAAAATGTTTCGGTTCTCATCCAAGAACTCATCAGAACTGAATAAATTTATTGGATGAGAAGCAAAAGTTTTTTTAGAAGTTTTTTTCAAGGGGAAAAACCAAGAAAGTCCAGTTGTCTTTTGAAAAACCACATTTGGAACTTGCCTTCAGAAGTTGTGGATGCTCCATGACTGGAGTTTTTAACTAGAAATTGGACAACCATTTGTCTGAAACTGTATAGGTCTCCTGCTTGAGCAGGGAATTGAAGACCCCCAAGGTCCCTTCCAACTCTGTTATTCTGTCCCATGCCAGCTTTTCATCCATACAACAGAAGTTTTTGACTGCTGCTGTTTCCTTGCTCTTGATGCCATCCAGGCTAATTGTGGGATTTAATGCTTGTCCCTTTCTTCTTACAGGACCTGTACCTGCCTCTATCCTTGGATGACTCTGATTCTCTTGGAGACTCCATGTAAAGGAAACCCAGTTCCCCTTCTCCGTAGTACACGCTCTGTTTTAAACGCAGAGCAGTACTTCTGCCCAACGGAGCAGAGAGGTCACTGGTGCTTGCAATCAGTCCAAGGACACAAAACTTATGGTTATGCTTTCTTTGCTTTGCTTTCTTGTTTTCCTCTTATGAGTTCTCCTCTGTGTTACAAAACCAACACAAGCAATGGATCAGAGGTAAAGGGATACCAACCATTTTCAGAACTTCACCATCTAAATTAAAACGGTTCTTCCTGGTGGGTTTTAGAACCAGAACATAATGATCTTACGATTTTCTATTCTCTGTTTGTACAGGGTACAATGACACCAGGACTGGCTGTGTAGGAAAAAATGATAAATCTTTTCAAAATATTCCATGTCAAAAGATTTCATCAGCAGATGTGGCAACACTGCCTCTAAACTTCAACTTTTCCCACCAGGAAGTTTTTCAGACATTCATAATTACCAGCAACTTTACCAAAGTAGCTTTGTTCCCTCAATCCTATTGTGTTAAATTTAATACTTTCCTATTAACTGTCCTTGATCTATACTCACAGCCACCAAATCCATGATGGTAATCAGGTCAATATATCACAGCATGCCCCAAAAATAAATGAGCAAAAAGCTATTTATGGTAGTTTTGCTGCAGGACCTTTAAGGCAAGTCAGGATCTTTTCACTACAGTGGATTTTGAAAGATGTGGCAGTTTAAAAAAAGATTTGGTTGGTATGAAGTTACTGGAAGTACTGTGTGGTATCTCTTGATCTCTGAAAGATTCTCAATGCCTTTCAAACAGCCAACACTGAAAACACAGGTTTTGTTTTCAGGTTTCTAATACTTCTCTGTTCCTACAACTACTGCAATTACTGTTGTTAATATGAAATCAGTACAATTTTATAGTGAAAAAATGACTTTAGCTACATTGTAGAGAAGCAATTCTTCAAGCTTCTTTCTTTCTTTTTTTAATGTGAGAACTGGTGACTTGATTTTGCTTAAAAAAACAAAAACAAAGGTATAGAAAATGTTCTGCGCAGTGAAACATTTTAGAAGTTGCAGCCAAATTTGGCATCTGAAATAGGAAAAAAAACATCTGGGTGCATTGGGGAGGTGGGTTGTTACCACTCAGTGAGCATTTTGAAAGGGTTTGTAACATCAGGGGCCTCCGGAAGAATAAAAAAAGTCAAGATGTCTGCTCTCCCCACATCATTGGAGCTCTGACTTGCCCCTTATGTGTGTTGCAGGCACAAGGCACCTCAAAACAGGTTGGGTTTCAATTGAAGGCCACCAGCCCCACCCCACTGCCCTGTGCAACAGGCTGGATTTACCTTGCCATGTTCGGCATGTTCAAGAATCCCAATTATGGCCAAGAGACTACTTTTGAGTCCTCTTTTCTATGAAAACAACCCATTAGAACAGAATGCAAAGCATAAGCCAGCGTTTCCCTTTTTTGTAATTGTAAATGCAATGTTTGATACAGGGCTGACCATTTTCCCTATGCCTTTTTATCAGTGCTGGATAGTGTGTGCCGCCTTGTTCCTGATTCATCAAAATAAGTGCTTTGATTTTTTAAAATATTCTCAGATCTTTCCTCTGCTTTTTTGGGGTGGCAACCCCTTTTTGAATTTAGAATGTGTATGATAAGAGTTCGTTCTTTCATTTCGATTGGAAAAGCTGCTTTGGGCCACTGGCATGGAATGAGCTGAACAGGCTCATTTTAACATGGCTACTTAGCTCACTTCTTTGCTCACCTATAGGGGGGGAAAAACTTTTCCCATTTCTTAAAATGACTTTCTCTTAACCCACTGGTTAAGATCATTGCACCATTAGCAAGTTTTGAGTGAGCTGAGTGTTAGGATGTTATCGTTGCAGAGAAGGTGTCAGATGTGGAGTGGTCTGATCTGCAATCCTGCACCACAAAGACAAGTAAGACTGAACCCATTGCTAGCCAAAGCAGTGTCTAGAATTCCCTGTTCCCCAATGTTGTTGTTTGGTCTGATGCATCCACTAAACACTGGTTCAGGAGAACCATTTTCCTTGTAGGATCACAGTCAGATCGCCATGGGGAAAGCTGACTTTGAGGACAAAGCACAGAAAAAGATCTACAGGAGAATTTCCTATGGTGTGTTTGACCCCCTAGCAGATCTAGTGTATAAATTGGAGCAGGTCTCTTAATTTCTTGGTGCCTCAATTTACCTTATCTGTCAAAATAGGGACAGGAATACTTCTCTACCTCACGGGAAGGGTGGTTGGGTTGGCAGGTGAGTCATTTTGTTAATGTCGTAAAAGACATATTTGGTGGGCAAGTACTTATAGCTTTGGAAGGGGCAGGATTTATTGAGTCCAGGGAAGGTTTCCTGGGTAGCCTGAAAGATCTTCTTTCTACAGACAGCCCTGACCACCACAACTAATCAATGCACACACTGTGAGCTTTGACTGTTGTCAACACCAGAAACAGGAACTGATCTCTCCCTCCCAGATCTGGCAATGGTGACTTTGTCCCTCCTGAGATTCTGAACCATGGTTACAAAGGTGACCTCCATTGTGAATTGCTTGCAGGAACACTTGTCAACTTGGAGATACACTTTGTTTGCCACACATTCACTTTGCTCTCGTTTTGATCTTCTGCTCTCTCTTCTCTCCCACCTGAAGGGCTGTTCTTACTTTGCCAGTCGGGTGTGGTCAGAGGAGCTATATTTCTGGAAACTGGAACTGAGCGATCCTTTTCTGCTAAAGGTGATGATGCTTCACGACAGCACTGCCTTTTTAGTCAAGAGTCTAAAAATCTTGATGCCTTCAACCCAATCTTTCCTGGTTTAATAGACAACAAGCAATTATCTCCATCAAAACTGAGCCATGGAGAACAGACCCTCTCCCTCCCTCTTTCTCTCTCTTATACACATACACAAACGCATACCCATGCAAAATACATCTATAGATGCTTGATCTATTTGATTGTTGTTCTTGGGCAGGGCCCTAGCATTAAGCCTATCCTTGGTAGTAGTACTGTAGAGTCTTTTGAATGTTAACCTTTCTCTTTCTTGATTGCACAGAGAGGACAAAGACTGTTTCTATCTGCCAATGGAAACTCTGAAGTAATATTGTCCTTTGTATAAAATGCTGGGAACATATATTAAGGGAGAAGCCACCATATTTATCTTCAACTTGTAAGCCCTTGAGAAGCTCATAGACAGAATGATAAACTAGATCCGTTTTCCCCAGCTGATTTACTTCAGACTTCCAATTCTTTGGAATCCCAAAGAGAATTGAAGTTCCTTTAGGCTTACAACCTGGACATTTTGACAGCTGGAACCTGGATAGTAGTAGTGATTCCAGTAGTGATTCTTGATCCTGGTTTACATGCTGTAGCTTCCCCGCTGAACGTTTTTGCAAAAATGCAGATTTGGGCCTTCATTTTTATTGCACTTAATAATGGCATGTCTGAAAGACTGATCTAACGGGAATGTTGTTGCCTGGGCTGTGCCATGCTGTGTGTTACTTCTGAATCCAGAAACGGTGAGATTCAGCTTTTGTAAGCATTCACCTTTTCAATGTTCAGAAAATCAGAGGCCTAGTCAATGGAAAGTGAAGGTTCTTCTTTCTAGAAAAGGAATGGGGGAGGGCGGGGGGAGCCATTCAAAACTTGTAAAAGTGAAACAGGGTAAAGAACAAGACTCCCAGGTTTTAGAAGAATCTTTCAGGTAAGTGTTCTTGAACTGTAGGTAGAAATCAGTGACTATGTCAGATGTAAAACTGCCTATGTAGTGGATGTTGCATGATTCTTTGTAAAAAATAAATTAAAATGCATGCCGAATAGCCATATGTACCATGCTAGGTGTATTCAGCTCCAAACTCATAAAAAAAAAAAACACTAGAGGCTACAGTGCTTTTCTCTTACAGCTCATTCATTGGGGGAAACAGATGCCACCTATTTTATATAAATGGATTGTATTGTGACAGACAGAAACACTGAAGGACAATAACAGCGGCGTTCAATACACAAGCTGAAAAGTTGAGTGGCCAGGGGTGGCACTTAAGGAGGGAAGGGCTGAGGGCCACACAGTAGATGGCCCATTGTATCACACATGTGAGTAAGGCTGATGTTTGAGGGGAGAAAAGACAGAGAGGGTAATGATTTAATTTTTGTTTGGCTCTTATATGCCGCTACAGTGTTTATTGCTTCCCCTTTCAAAATAGCAGCTTCCTGTATTCACCGAAGGAATTCAAGGACTACAGGAAGGTGATGCAGTAACTTGTAACCTTGAGGCTCCAACCCATCCTGTCAGGCACAATCAACCAGACCCACATGAGTAGAGTTCAAACTAGCTACTTTATTGTTCTGCGCCTAGTCTACAGGACTCTTCCCAGACTGGCAGCTTTCGCCTGGAAAATCTAGATAAGATTCAAAGGCAATCAAAGGGTGGGATGGGGTTGGACCTTTCCCTCTTGTGTCTATGTAATGATTCCAGACTAATTCCCTGCTTGATCCCTCCTCCCGATTGGGACAGTCTGTCTCCAATACATCCCTGCTCTAGCTCTATGAAACTGTTTGGTTTCTTTTCTAAAAACTCTTGCACTTGAGCAGCTGCAGGATCAGGATGTAGAAGGAAGATTTAGAAGACAGCAGTAGCCAAATTGCACACCTGGACCCCATATAGTCCCTTAGCCCTTCACAGGTGCCTGGAACTTTGCTCTTATCCATTCCCTCTTGATTTAACCATCCATGACCACGGTTAATGCCTTTAAGGTCCCTATTGCCATCCAGCCCAGAAATGTAAGTCTTCACACTGCAGAGGGCCATTGGAGGTGGGGGGTGGGAGAGAGCCCTGAATTACAGTCCCATATTTTTTGTTTTGCGCAGGCAGCCTGTATATTATCAATATATTTGTAAAAATATCTTTGTCGATCATGAAGAAGATCCATCCTTCTAATCTTAGAAGCTCATGAATTATGAAGGACATGCTGTAGAGGCCATTGTGAAGATCTCCTAACTTTGTGAAGCAAAGGTGAGGTAGCTGTC